GCCGTCAGGGCCATTCCTGACATTATATAGCAGGAGCAAAACCAGACTGTCACGTTTCTCGAGTCGGCGAGGGTGTGGCGAGGATAAGAACCGGGCACCATGTCGCCGAAGCCGATAGTGCTCAGGCTCATGAAGCAGAAATAGCTTGCATCTAAATGTGGAAAAAGCGCTAGCCGTTAGCTTTTAGAGAGTATAAACTTTATATACATATATATCTACATATATCATGTTTACATATACTGCACTGTATATATTACGTTGCAGAATTTATGCCAATCTGATACGGGTACAGAAAAACGATCATGTTAATTTTTTTTTTTAAACGCTTTGAAGCTCATCAAATATACATTTATATTGAAAACTACTGGAATTCACGTTGAGAGGTAACGCAACACCGAACACAATTTATGAAATTTTTTTTTCCGACATGAACGGAACTTACCTATGAATGACCAACCGTCCAATTTATGCAGAGTGAATGCTCCGGCAACGATGTAGCACAACATCGCGCCAAGGCAGATACTGATTGGTGCGAGTATGGTAACATTCGGTCTGTCGCCGGAGCCAAGACTCGAAACTTCGTCTTTCGGGCTGGCTTTAATTTCCACGGTGCTAGTGAACGTCGATGCATTCGCGCGAACGTAAAAGGGCTCCTGCAGCTGTAACTGTTGCTGCTGCTGCTGCGCCAGCTCCTCCTGCTGTCGCTTCTTTCTCATCCGTCGCTCTTTCTCCTACATATGAGAAAATATCCGAAAATGGAAAATCCGTTCATATCTGCATGTCAACACACGTGAATGACCATTCTACATGTGTACCAATTACATTCGTGTTGCGTCGCAACACTTTCGAGTGAACGCCAACATCGTTTACACTCTTGTGTTTCGAGTGCTGGGGATTTCGAAGGCTGATCCAATTTTATTTGAATAGCGCTCTAACAATAACCAATCAATGGTACGGCAGCGATTAATCCTTATCGATCGTCAACAGGACACGCGTATCCTGCCGACATAGGAGATGCATGTGTCGAGTCGATGCGACATATGCATTTCCCATCACGTATATCCAGTTTATTCAAAGGGAGGAAGACCATATCACTGACGTCCGCGATTAAATTTTTTATCACTAACGATGAAAAATTTTCAACGAAGCATGCCATCGCTAACCTGCATCCGCCTCTCATCGTAACAACAATAGCCGCAATTCGAGCAGAGGCAGCAACAAAGAGCTCGTGTAAAAACGCCCCTGGCGCATCTCGACAAGAGACCTCCCGCACTAGATAGGTAGACCAAGGTCAAGGGTATCCCAAGACTGGCGTAACCCATTGTAGCAACTTTGCCCCAAGTAGATTTCGGCGCGATACTTCCGCAACCTGTGAACACAGAATAGAAAAGAAATTTAGGTTTATTAAGACGCTCAAAATCGATAAGATATAATCGGTACAGGAAGTACATTGCAATGGTCATTTACAGCGGTATTTAATTCCTTTTATGGAGAGTCGTTCTAGCATATGATACCATAGCGATATTACAATGGAAAAGAACAGCGATAAACCCCGCAGTAGTTAATTTCTCGCAATGTTAGCTTGCTGGATACTTAAAGAATAATATCCGCGGTGGTTTACTCACGCTAATTAACCGCTGCGGTAATAAGAACTTTGTGTAATGTGGGATCATGAGTAAATTGATTTGTGTAAATGTGTGCACAAGACGCCGACCACAGACACGTGTGTGCACATATGTATGATACGTGTATGTGCGAATAAGCGTCTAAGGTGAGCTTATACATAATACGGAAAATATTTCCTTTTCAGCGATTATTTCTGTTAGCGGATTTAAAATCTTGAATAAAAAAATCAAATTTATTATCGTTCCAGGTTTTGCTCAGAAGTAATTCTGTGGCACAAGTTTTCTTATTATAATTCATATCCCGAATCAAAATTGATTAAGTTTTACAAAATCAATATCCAAGTCAACGCAAAGCCCACGCTCAGAAAGTTGGAACATAAAGCGTTTGTAAAAATTCGTAGAATTTCTTCGGTATCGTAAAAACTTAAGTTTCGGCAAACGTCCATCAATCGTAATCTCCAAAAGCGATTCTCGCAATCGAGCAGCCGAATTTATAGTACGGCAGAAGCGTCCAATCGGGTTGCTATCCAGGGATGAATAAAAATATATACGGTAAAAAAAACCTAACTAGAGTTTTTCTTCAATTTCGCAAAACAATCAAAAACGTTATTTGATCAAGATACGAAGCTTTAATAAATTTTGACCCGTATCGCTGTGATGCAGGAAGAGAGACAAGCTACATTAAAAGACTATTTTTCCTGTTGCTGATTTATAATGTAAAATTTATCTGATGACAGTTAATCATTATCTCAACAAGTTTGTAACAGTAAATAGCGTTATTTATACAATATATTGCCAGAGAGGAATGTCAATATTGTTGACATCTAGAATTATCTCAGTTATTTTGTCATAAAATTTTTTATGATACTACTGATTGAAAATTTCTCACGAAATAAATTATTAAAACGAATGATGCATTTTCTGTCATAAAAAATATTGACTCTCTCATGAAAATATACACATATATTATAGTTTAGTACATTTAGTATACCACGTGTGTGTGCGATAATAAATGTCCATTCATATCTTTTAGTAAAATGCGATTTTGCTAAAAGAGGTGTACCATTTCAGAGTCATAAGACTTCATATATTTTCCAAGTATTTTTCTTATATAATAAAATATCTTTTATTATATAAGAGTAAAAAATATCACTTGTATGTCAGCATATGCGCGCATGTATCACCAAAAGCTTTTGATAAAATATTATCGTTCGTATGTTCTAAGTTGTTTACATCGATTAATTTTACTATCATGACGCGAAAGTTTTGCGAAAGCAGAACAGCAGCACCAGCACCGGCAGCACCAGCAGCAGCTTTGAAACTCTACATTTTACATACAATCCTGATTATACACGATCCTTATTTTCCAAACAGAATAATACGTTAAGTATTGTGGAGCTATTTTATCGCCGACAAACAGCGTCATTAATCTCCGCAGAATAAATAGAAGCTCATTCTTCCGTGGAAATGCAAGAAAAACGATACCTTTCCAAAAACGCGTGAGCTTTTAGCTCTCTCGCGGAGCTGTCGTATTTGCGCATCGTTCAATCCCAATCTCGACAGGTCGACCTTACGGACGAGCGATGGAAGCAACATAGAAGTGCAATATGCAGTTGTGTGTGCGCGCGTTTCGCAAGTCAATCCAAAAAAATTACGTATACACGAGAATAAAAGGGACGGCAATAGAAAGAGAGTGGAAGAGAGCCGTTACAGCAGTGCGCGAAAGTCCGGCGGGACCTGAAAAAGCGCTCGGCCGAGATGCGGCGCGAATCGATTGCTCGATGCCGCTTAAGATAATGGATCACCTATCGGAATTGCCCCTGGTACGTATATGATAGTGGCAGGGGGGGGGCGCGGG